CAGAATGTCAGTCTGGGGTCAGCCAATACAGGATGTCTGTCAAAGGTCAGCCAGGGGTCAGCCAATACAGAATGTCAGTCTGGGGTCAGCCAATACAGGATGTCTGTCTGGGGTCAGCCAGGGGTCAGTCAATACAGGATGTATGTCTGGGGTCAGCCAATACAGGATGTATGTCTGGGGTCAGCCAATACAGGATGTCTGTCTGGGGTCAGCCAGGGGTCAGCCAATACAGGATGTCTGTCTGGGGTCAGCCAATACAGTATGTCTGTCTGGGGTCAGCCAGGGGTCAGTCAATACAGGATGTATGTCTGGGGTCAGCCAATACAGGATGTATGTCTGGGGTCAGCCAATACAGGATGTCTGTCTGGGGTCAGCCAGGGGTCAGCCAATACAGGATGTCTGTCTGGGGTCAGCCAATACAGTATGTCTGTCTGGGGTCAGCCAGGGGTCAGCCAATACAGGATGTATGTCTGGGGTCAGCCAATACAGGATGTATGTCTGGGGTCAGCCAATACAGGATGTCTGTCTGGGGTCAGCCAGGGGTCAGCCAATACAGGATGTCTGTCTGGGGTCAGCCAATACAGTATGTCTGTCTGGGGTCAGCCAGGGGTCAGCCAATACAGGATGCCTGTCAAGGACCAGCCAGTTATCGGTCAATAAAAAAGTGCTGTGGGATCATCCAGGCACCAGTCAATACAAGACATCAGCCCTGGTAATGTGATAATGCTTGCTCTGGCATTTGCTGCAGACAAGAGGGCCAATTCGACAACTGCTCTGTCGTGTTAAACATTTTTTTTACACATAAATGTCATGATAATTTTTTTCTGTTGAGTTTTTTTGTGTATCAACATTTAGACTGGATACAAATTATTTTAATTTGTATGCTTGATATGTTATATGCCTGTGGATATTCGATAAATACACATATTGCCATTACGCGTCATCATAAAGAGTAGCCGTTTTATAGACTTGGTCTATCTTGGCATAGTAAAGTCTTGGTCTATCGTGACCTAGTTAAGGTATTAAGGTTGGGTCTGTCGTGCCCTAGTTAAGCATACAGTTTAGATGTTGTGTATCACTCTTGGAGTCGTGGTGTGGATAATCGCGCACACCACAACTTCGCATCCTTCCAGAGTTTCTTCCAGACATGTCTTTCGGGGGGGGGGGGGGGGGGGGGGGGGGGGAAGTCTACCGTCCCCCGAACGAGATAAATTTTATAAGGCAAACATACACTTTTACTAGTGTCCGCCCCCCCCCCCCCCCCCCCCCGAAAATTGTTGACCCCCCGCCGAAAATATCAAGTGACCCCCACCCCGGAGAAAAAAGTCTGGAAGAAACACTGCATACGTCATTGACTTCCGTTTCTAGCGCGTCCTTTAACCACGTGGCGCCATTGGCTGCCAGACTTGCAGGAATCCCATTGGCTGCCAGACTTGCAGGAATCCCATTGGCTGCCAGACTTGCGGGAACGAGTCTCTGATTACCTAAGCACGTCCCTACCAAACACCATGTTGACAAAGTCTCAGGCCCTCGGCTCGTGCCAATACAGAGGTAAACTTAGAGGTGAGCACACGGCGCTGATATTTTAATTCCCGACACCCTACAGGTAGCGCTAATGAAATTAACGTCATTATCTGGGTTCTATAATTACCTGCTTAGTTTAGCCCGCTGTATTCAGGACTGACGTCATATGTTTCCACCTTATCCGGTAGCTTTCACCTTGACCTTCTGCCCGAGTGTCTGTAGCTCTACCTGTTTACCAGCGCCATTGATCTATGACCAGGTGATAACCTTTTCATTTGTCTGTACAACTGCTGTTTGTAGATAGAACAACTGCTATTTTTAGAACTATTAGAACAATAAATGATTTTACATGGTGCAACTGTTGTTTTTGTACGAGTCAACTTTTGTTTATGCATTGATACGAATCAACTTTTGTTTATGCATTGATACGAATCAACTTTTGTTTATGCATTGATACGAATCAACTTTTGTTTATACATCTAGGAACCCCCTCCCTCAGTGATCTACAATTTATTCTCTATTAGAGCAAATGTTATGGAATCATTATTGGCGTGCCTGAATGTGTGTCTGTGTGTATGTGCGTTCAAGAGTGGCGTAAAGGGGTGGGGACACAAAACAGCCCTCCAGAACTCTAGGTGAGCGCTAAATTCGTCACGTGACTGCCTGTTCGCCGACGTCTTGTCTGCCCCCTGTCCGTCCCTCCCACAGAGGTGCCAGACGTGAAGAAGAAATACTGGCCAAGGCAGAAGGTAGGCGCCAAAAGGGCGCGTGTATGACACGTTGTTTTATTAAATTTTTTTGACAGCTCCCTCTCAGCTGACCAGATCAATGCCCCAGATCGTGGTTCACGATGCCAGTCTGTCTTGTTGGTACGGGTCGGTGGCTCATCAGGTCATCTAAACCTGGCACATCAGGTCATCTAAACCTGGTACATCAGGTCATTTAAACCTACTACATCAGGTCATCTAAACCTGGTACATCAGGTCATTTAAACCTACTACATCAGGTCATCTAAACCTGGTACATCAGGTCATCTAAACCTGGTACATCAGGTCATCTAAACCTACTACATCAGGTCATCTAAACCTACTACATCAGGTCATCTAAACCTGGTACATCAGGTCATTTAAACCTACTACATCAGGTCATCTAAACCTGGCACATCAGGTCATCTAAACCTGGTACATCAGGTCATTTAAACCTGGTACATCAGGTCATCTAATCCTGGTACATCAGGTCATTTAAACGTACTACATCAGGTCATCTAAACCTGGTACATCAGGTCATCTAAACCTACTACATCAGGTCATCTAAACCTACTACATCAGGTCATCTAAGCCTACTACACCAGGTCATCTAAACCTACTACACCAGGTCATCTAAACCTGGTACATCAGGTCATCTAAACCTACTACATCAGGTCATCCAAACCTACTACATCAGGTCATCTAAACCTGGTACATCAGGTCATTTAAACCTACTACATCAGGTCATCTAAACCTGGTACATCAGGTCATTTAAACCTACTACATCAGGTCATCTAAACCTGGCACATCAGGTCATCTAAACCTACTACATCAGGTCATCTAAACCTACTACACCAGGTCATCTAAACCTGGTACATCAGGTCATCTAAGCCTACTACACCAGGTCATCTAAACCTACTACACCAGGTCATCTAAACCTAATACATGAGGTCATCTAAACCTACTTTATAAGGTCATCTAAACCTACTACATGAGGTAATCTAAACCTACTACATCAAGTCATCTAGACCTACTACATCAGGTCATCTAAACCTACTCTACCAGGTCATCTAAGCCTGGTACATCAGGCCATCTAAACCTAATACATGAGGTCATCTAAACCTACTTTATAAGGTCATCTAAACCTACTACATGAGGTAATCTAAACCTACTACATCAAGTCATCTAGACCTACTACATCAGGTCATCTAAACCTACTCTACCAGGTCATCTAAGCCTGGTACATCAGGCCATCTAAACCTAATACATGAGGTCATCTAAACCTACTTTATAAGGTCATTTAAACCTACTACAGAGAGCAAGAGAGTTAGAGGGAGAAAGAGAGAGAGAAAGCGATGCCACGCGTAAAGTGAGATAAAGTCTCAAGTTAAAAAACAAAAACAAAAATGAGAGAGGAAAAGCATTTTCTCGCCATTACCCCCTCCCCTACCCCACCACATTCCGCCGGATTTAATCAATAGATCGATAAATCAGATTTTCAATCACGCGGTTTTTAATGAAAAGTTTCTCCACCCTGTCTCTCCACCTTTCATTAGACACATGACACTCAATATGGTGCTATATGTGACATCTGCATTTAACACATCACTCAATATAGTGTTGTGTGTGACATTTGAATTTAACACATCACTCAATATGGTTCTATGGTGCTATGTGTGACATCATCTCATCACGCCATACTTGGCCGGCCATCTAAGACCGTCATAGAACAAAAATCCCCATATTCTCTGTGTCGCACGCTATCACTTTCTATTTTTTCTGTCGCTGCGGGCCCAAAAGGCGTGGCGCTTATCCGTTTATTTTTTCTTGTTCGGCGGGGGCTGGGGCTCTGTCAGCGTGAAGAGATGCTCTCAAATTCTATTAGATGTGGGGGTGAGGGCAGTAGCGTAGCGAGGGGGGGGGGGGGGCGGGGGGGGGGGCATATGTCCCCGGGCGCCGACCTTAGGGGGCGCCAAAATGGGTTGGAAAAATAAATTGAAAGGTTGAGGGGGGTGCAAATCGAAATCTCGAGGGGTGGGGGGGGGGGTGCAAATCAAAATCTCGAAGGGGGGGGGGGTGCAAATCGAAAAGTTTGTCCCCGGGCGCCGGGAGGGTCGCTTCGCCTCTGGGTGAGGGTGGGGGGGGCTTGTCTGTTGGGCTTGTGGGGTATTTTGGACTTGTCTCTTGGACTTGTCTCTTGGACTTGTCTCTTGGACTTGTCTCTTGGACGTCTCTTGGACTTGTCTGTTGGACTTGTCTTTTGGACTTGTCTTTTGGACTTGTCTCTTGGACTTGTCTTTTAGACTTGTCTGTTGGGCTTGTGAGGTCTGTTGGACTTGTCTCTTGGACTTGTCTCTTGGACTTGTCTCTTGGACTTGTCTCTTGGACGTCTCTTGGACTTGTCTCTTGGACTTGTCTCTTGGACTTGTCTTTTGGACTTGTCTCTTGGACTTGTCTCTTGGACTTGTCTTTTAGACTTGTCTGTTGGGCTTGTGAGGTCTGTTGGACTTGTCTCTTGGACTTGTCTCTTGGACTTGTCTCTTGGACTTGTCTCTTGGACGTCTCTTGGACTTGTCTCTTGGACTTGTCTCTTGGACTTGTCTCTTGGACTTGTCTCTTGGACTTGTCTTTTGGACTTGTCTGTTGGGATTGTAAGGTCTGTTGGGCTTCTGAGGTCTGTTGAACGTTGTAAGATAGAAATCTACTTTTGAAGCAACAAAATAAGAATAGCTTGTGTTGGTGTCAGTGCTGCTTTTATTATAATGAACTTTTGTTCACAGTGAGACCCTTATTACCCGGTAAAACGATGTAAAATGATGTGCTATGCCCTTAAAACCAAGCATAATGAAGTTCTGTAAAACCCTATAGTGAAGTGATGTGCTATGCTCACAGCTTCCCTTATTAGCCGGCTTAACAAAGTACTGTTGACAGTGCAGCCCGGTCGACTCATTTTGCCCGTTTTCTCAAGGTAAGCAACCAGTTACGTCGAGACGCCCGAGGGTCCAGCATCCTCCTGCCCCGGGTCCCTGCTAGTTTCAATCGTTTCCTGGCCCGACCCCAGCCCAAATCGTCCCGGGCTGTGTATTCTGGTGGTTCAAACGTGTTTTTCAAACTACGCGCTCTATAAGCGCAACTGTTACAGCAGGCAATTTGAATGGATTCAGTGCCAGATCCGCTCCAGCCGCAAATGTAACAGGCGCTGACGCAACTTGTTTCCCTTAATAGTGTACTAAGGCTCCATGTGTCCCTGCTGTCCTGGCTGTCCTTGCTGCCGCTGCTGTCTCTGCTGTCTCTCAAGGTCTTCGGAAAGTCAGCGAGACTTTCACAGTCCTCAAACTCTTCTGTTTGGGAGCTTACATTGTGCAGGTCACTTTCCTCTGGTGGATCTAGAATGGCCTTGTTGGAAAGCTGGGTGACGTCACTGCTGTTGGACAGCTGGATGACATCTCTGTTGTTGGACAGCTGGATGACGTCACTGCTGTTGGACAGCTGGATGACGTCACTGCTGTTGGACAGCTGGATGACGTCACTGCTGTTGGACAGCTGGATGACGTCTCTGCTGTTAGACAGCTGGGTGACATCTCTGCTGTTGGACAGCTGGATGACGTCACTGCTGTTGGACAGCTGGATGACGTCACTGCTGTTGGACAGCTGGATGACGTCACTGCTGTTGGACAGCTGGATGACATCTCTGTTGTTGGACAGCTGGATGACATCTCTGCTGTTGGACAGCTGGATGACGTCACTGCTGTTGGACAGCTGGATGACGTCACTGCTGTTGGACAGCTGGATGACGTCACTGCTGTTGGACAGCTGGATGACGTCACTGCTGTTGGACAGCTGGATGACGTCACTGCTGTTGGACAGCTGGATGACGTCACTGCTGTTGGACAGCTGGATGCCGTCACTGCTGTTAGACAGCTGGATGACGTCACTGCTGTTAGACAGCTGGATGACATCTCTGCTGTTGGTATTTACTGTGAGATCTTGTTCAGTGTCGCCCAGTATTATCTCATCATCTGGCCCGAGATAGGGGACACCCACAAATTGTCTCAAGTTAACATTTACCGACCTAACGAGGCGGAGGAAATTCAAAAGTAGTGCGATGTAAATCAACTTGTAAACAGAACAATGGAGTGTAACCAGAACAACTCATTAAACACACACAAGTTAGACTACTACTTAAACACACACACACACCACAACAACCACACAAGTTAGTACACTACTTACACACACATCACAACAACCACACAAGTTAGCACACTACTTAAAAACAAACACAACAACCACACAAGTTAGCACACTACTTACACACACACAACAACCACACAAGTTAGCACACTACTTACACAAACACACACACCACAACAACCACAAAAGTTAACACACTACTTACACACACCACAATAACCACACAAGTTAGCACACTACTTACACACACCACAACAACCACACAAGTTAACACACCACTTACACACACCGCAACAACCACAACAACCACACAAGTTAACACACTACTTACACAAACAACCCACAACAACCACACAAGTTAACACACTACTTACACACACCACAACAACCACACAAGTTAACACACTACGTACACACACCACAACAACCACACAAGTTAACGCACTACTTACTCAAACAACCCACAACAACCACACAAGTTAACACACTACTTACACACACACCACAACTACCACACAAGTTAGCACACTACTTACACACACCACAACAACCACACAAGTTAACACACTACTTACACACACACCACAACAACGACACAAGTTAACACACTACTTGCACAAACAACCCACAACAACCACACAAGTTAACACACTACTTACACACACACCACAACAACCACACACGTTTACACACTACTTACACACACAACATCCACACAAGTTAGTACACTACTTACACACACACCACAACAACCACACAAGTTAACACACTACTTACACACACACCACAACAACCACACAAGTTAGCACACTACTTACACACACCACAACAACCACACAAGTTAACACACTACTTACACACACACCACAACAACGACACAAGTTAACACACTACTTGCACAAACAACCCACAACAACCACACAAGTTAACACACTACTTACACACACACCACAACAACCACACACGTTTACACACTACTTACACACACAACATCCACACAAGTTAGTACACTACTTACACACACACCACAACAACCACACAAGTTTACACACTACTTACACACACCACAACAACCACACAAGTTTACACACTACTTACATAAAAACAATACTGACTACTACCATTTGTTCACCATTTATCCAAGGTTGTTGTTGTTGTGCCGTTTGACACAGTATGGGTTTAACCTCAGCTGGTGTTCGTTCTCTGCCGTCCCACGTGTGGAGCAACCACTCAATGAAACTCCACAAGTACCACATCTCAACCAGTGCTCAAAGTCAATGGCACAAAATGTAGCTGTAGTGTCTGAAACACAAAAACAAACCATTTTGTCAGTCGGAACGTCAAGCAGTCGGTAGTCCGAGTCTGAAAGTTTGTCCAAGTCAAGTAATTGTGTGCCAAGTGTTTTAGTGATTGTTTGTGTCAAGTGTTTCAGTGGTTGTTTGTGCCAAGTGTTTCAGTGATTGTTTGTGCCAAGTGTTTCAGTGATTGTTTGTGTCAAGTGTTTCAGTGATTGTTTGTGTCAAGTGTTTCAGTGATTGTTTGTGTCAAGTGTTTCAGTGATTGTTTGTGTCAAGTGTTTCAGTGGTTGTGTCAAGTGTTTCAGTGATTGTTTGTGTCAAGTGTTTCAGTGGTTGTTTGTGTCAAGTGTTTCAGTGATTGTTTGTGTCAAGTGTTTCAGTGGTTGTTTGTGTCAAGTGTTTCAGTGATTGTTTGTGTCAAGTGTTTCAGTGGTTGTTTGTGTCAAGTGTTTCAGTGATTGTTTGTGTCAAGTGTTTCAGTGGTTGTTTGTGTCAAGTGTTTCAGTGATTGTTTGTGTCAAGTGTTTCAGTGATTGTGTCAAGTGTTTCAGTGATTGTTTGTGTCAAGTGTTTCAGTGATTGTTTGTGTCAAGTGTTTCAGTGGTTGTTTGTGTCAAGTGTTTCAGTGATTGTTTGTGTCAAGTGTTTCAGTGATTGTTTGTGTCAAGTGTTTCAGTGATTGTTTGTGTCAAGTGTTTCAGTGATTGTTTGTGTCAAGTGTTTCAGTGATTGTTTGTGTCAAGTGTTTCAGTGATTGTTTGTGTCGAGTGTTTTAGTGATTGTTTGTGTCAAGTGTTTCAGTGATTGTTTGTGTCAAGTGTTTCAGTGATTGTTTGTGTCGAGTGTTTTAGTGTTTGTTTGTGTCAAGTGTTTCAGTGGTTGTTTGTGTCAAGTGTTTCAGTGATTGTTTGTGTCAAGTGTTTCAGTGATTGTTTGTGTCAAGTGTTTCAGTGATTGTTTGTGTCAAGTGTTTCAGTGATTGTTTGTGTCAAGTGTTTCAGTGATTGTGTCAAGTGTTTCAGTGATTGTTTGTGTCAAGTGTTTCAGTGGTTGTGTCAAGTGTTTCAGTGATTGTTTGTGTCAAGTGTTTCAGTGGTTGTTTGTGTCAAGTGTTTCAGTGATTGTTTGTGTCAAGTGTTTCAGTGGTTGTTTGTGTCAAGTGTTTCAGTGATTGTTTGTGTCAAGTGTTTCAGTGGTTGTTTGTGTCAAGTGTTTCAGTGATTGTTTGTGTCAAGTGTTTCAGTGGTTGTTTGTGTCAAGTGTTTCAGTGATTGTTTGTGTCAAGTGTTTCAGTGATTGTGTCAAGTGTTTCAGTGATTGTTTGTGTCAAGTGTTTCAGTGATTGTTTGTGTCAAGTGTTTCAGTGGTTGTTTGTGTCAAGTGTTTCAGTGGTTGTTTGTGTCAAGTGTTTCAGTGGTTGTTTGTGTCAAGTGTTTCAGTGATTGTTTGTGTCAAGTGTTTCAGTGGTTGTTTGTGTCAAGTGTTTCAGTGATTGTTTGTGTCAAGTGTTTCAGTGATTGTTTGTGTCAAGTGTTTCAGTGATTGTTTGTGTCAAGTGTTTCAGTGATTGTTTGTGTCAAGTGTTTCAGTGATTGTTTGTGTCAAGTGTTTCAGTGATTGTTTGTGTCGAGTGTTTTAGTGATTGTTTGTGTCAAGTGTTTCAGTGATTGTTTGTGTCAAGTGTTTCAGTGATTGTTTGTGTCGAGTGTTTTAGTGTTTGTTTGTGTCAAGTGTTTCAGTGGTTGTTTGTGTCAAGTGTTTCAGTGATTGTTTGTGTCAAGTTTTTCAGTGATTGTTTGTGTCAAGTGTTTCAGTGATTGTTTGTGTCAAGTGTTTCAGTGATTGTTTGTGTCAAGTGTTTCAGTGATTGTGTCAAGTGTTTCAGTGATTGTTTGTGTCAAGTGTTTCAGTGGTTGTGTCAAGTGTTTCAGTGATTGTTTGTGTCAAGTGTTTCAGTGGTTGTTTGTGTCAAGTGTTTCAGTGATTGTTTGTGTCAAGTGTTTCAGTGGTTGTTTGTGTCAAGTGTTTCAGTGATTGTTTGTGTCAAGTGTTTCAGTGGTTGTTTGTGTCAAGTGTTTCAGTGATTGTTTGTGTCAAGTGTTTCAGTGGTTGTTTGTGTCAAGTGTTTCAGTGATTGTTTGTGTCAAGTGTTTCAGTGATTGTGTCAAGTGTTTCAGTGATTGTTTGTGTCAAGTGTTTCAGTGATTGTTTGTGTCAAGTGTTTCAGTGGTTGTTTGTGTCAAGTGTTTCAGTGGTTGTTTGTGTCAAGTGTTTCAGTGGTTGTTTGTGTCAAGTGTTTCAGTGATTGTTTGTGTCAAGTGTTTCAGTGGTTGTTTGTGTCAAGTGTTTCAGTGATTGTTTGTGTCAAGTGTTTCAGTGATTGTTTGTGTCAAGTGTTTCAGTGATTGTTTGTGTCAAGTGTTTCAGTGATTGTTTGTGTCGAGTGTTTTAGTGATTGTTTGTGTCAAGTGTTTCAGTGATTGTTTGTGTCAAGTGTTTCAGTGATTGTTTGTGTCGAGTGTTTTAGTGTTTGTTTGTGTCAAGTGTTTCAGTGGTTGTTTGTGTCAAGTGTTTCAGTGATTGTTTGTGTCAAGTGTTTCAGTGATTGTTTGTGTCAAGTGTTTCAGTGATTGTTTGTGTCAAGTGTTTCAGTGATTGTTTGTGTCAAGTGTTTCAGTGATTGTGTCAAGTGTTTCAGTGATTGTTTGTGTCAAGTGTTTCAGTGGTTGTTTGTGTCAAGTGTTTCAGTGATTGTTTCTGTCAAGAGTTTCAGTGATTGTTTGTGTCAAGTGTTTCAGTGATTGTTTGTGTCAAGTGTTTCATTGATTGTTTGTGTCAAGTGTTTCAGTGATTGTTTGTGTCAAGCTGGGCTAGATTGGCTCAGGGATGTATTACACTCAGGTACCCATTAGAGCTAGATGGGCTTATGTATTACACTAAGGTACCCATTAGAGCTAGACGGGCTCATGTATTAACTCAGGTTCCCATTAGAGCTGGATGGGCTCATGTATTACACTCAGGTACCCATTAGAGCTGGTTGGGCTCAGGGATGTATTACACTCAGGTACCCATTAGAGCTAGATGGGCTCATGTATTACACTCAGGTACCCATTACAGCTAGATTGGCTCAGGGATGTATTACACTCAGGTACCCATTAGAGCTAGATGGGCTCAGGGATGTATTACACTCAGGTACCCATTAGAGCTAGATGGGCTCAGGGATGTATTACACTCAGGTACCCATTAGAGCTAGATGGGCTCATGTATTACACTCAGGTACCCATTAGAGCTAGACGGGCTCATGTATTACACTCAGGTACCCATTAGAGCTGGATGGGCTCATGTATTACACTCAGGTACCCATTAGAGCTGGTTGGGCTCAGGGATGTATTACACTCAGGTACCCATTAGAGCTGGATGGGCTCATGTATTACACTCAGGTACCCATTAGAGCTGGTTGGGTTCAGGGATGTATTACACTCAGGTACCCATTAGAGCTAGATGGGCTTATGTATTACACTAAGGTACCCATTAGAGCTAGACGGGCTCATGTATTACACTCAGGTACCCATTAGAGCTGGTTGGGCTCAGGGATGTATTACACTCAGGTACCCATTAGAGCTAGATGGGCTCATGTATTAACTCAGGTTCCCATTAGAGCTGGATGGGCTCATGTATTACACTCAGGTACCCATTAGAGCTGGTTGGGCTCAGGGATGTATTACACTCAGGTACCCATTAGAGCTAGATGGGCTCATGTATTACACTCAGGTACCCATTAGAGCTAGATGGGCTCAGGGATGTATTACACTCAGGTACCCATTAGAGCTAGATGGGCTCAAGTATTAACTCAGGTACCCATTAGAACTGGATTGGCTCAGGGATGTATTACAAAGGTACTCATTAGAATTGGATGGGCTAATGTATTACACTCAGGTACCCATTAGAGCTAGATGGGCGACTGTATTACACTCAGGTACCCATTAGAGCTAGATGGGCTCAAGTATTAACTCAGGTACCCATTAGAACTGAATTGGCTCAGGGATGTATTACACAGGTACTCATTATAACTGGATGTGCTCAGGGATGTATTACACAGGTGCCCATTAGAACTGGATGTGCTCAGGGATGTATTACACTCAAGTACCCATTAGAGCTAGACGGGCTCATGTATTAACTCAGGTACCCATTAGAACTGGATTGGCTCAGGGATGTATTACAAAGGTACTCATTAGAATTGGATGGGCTAATGTATTACACTCAGGTACCCATTAGAGCTAGATGGGCGACTGTATTACACTCAGGTACCCATTAGAGCTAGATGGGCGACTGTATTACACTCAGGTACCCATTAGAGCTAGATGGGCTCATGTATTAACTCAGGTTCCCATTAGAGCTAGATGGGCTCATGTATTACACTCAGGTACCCATTAGAACTAGATGGGCTCAAGTATTAACTCAGGTACCCATTAGAGCTAGATGGGCTCATGTATTAACTCAGGTTCCCATTAGAGCTAGATGGGCTCATGTATTACACTCAGGTACCCATTAGAACTGGATTGGCTCAGGGATGTATTACACTCAGGTACCCATTAGAACTGGATTGGCTCAGGGATGTATTACACTCAGGTACCCATTAGAAATGGATGTGCTCATGTATTACACTCAGGTACCCATTAGAACTGGATTGGCTCAGGGATGTATTACACTCAGGTACCCATTAGAGCTAGATGGGCTTATGTATTACACTAAAGTACCCATTAGAGCTAGATGGGCTCATGTATTAACTCAGGTTCCCATTAGAGCTAGATGGGCTCATGTATTACACTCAGGTTCCCATTAGAGCTAGATGGGCTCATGTATTACACTCAGGTACCCATTAGAGCTAGATGGGCTCAGGAGTGTATTACACTCAGGTACCCATTAGAACTGGATTGGCTCAGGGATGTATTACACTCAGGTACCCATTAGAGCTAGACGGGCTCATGTATTAACTCAGGTTCCCATTAGAGCTAGATGGGCTCATGTATTACACTCAGGTACCCATTAGAGCTAGATGGGCTCAGGGATGTATTACACTCAGGTACCCATTAGAACTGGATGTGCTCTTGTATTACACTCAGGTACCCATTAGAACTGGATTGGCTCAGGGATGTATTACACTCAGGTACCCATTAGAACTGGATTGGCTCAGGGATGTATTACACTCAGGTACCCATTAGAACTGGATGTGCTCATGTATTACACTCAGGTACCCATTAGAACTGGATTGGCTCAGGGATGTATTACACTCAGGTACCCATTAGAGCTAGATGGGCCTATGTATTACACTAAGGTACCCATTAGAGCTAGATGGGCTCATGTATTAACTCAGGTTCCCATTAGAGCTAGATGGGCTCATGTATTACACTCAGGTACCCATTAGAGCTAGATGGGCTCAGGAGTGTATTACACTCAGGTACCCATTAGAACTGGATTGGCTCAGGGATGAATAACACTCAGGTACCCATTAGAGCTAGACGGGCTCATGTATTAACTCAGGTTCCCATTAGAGCTAGATGGGCTCATGTATTACACTCAGGTACCCATTAGAGCTAGATGGGCTCAGGAGTGTATTACACTCAGGTACCCATTAGAACTGGATTGGCTCAGGGATGTATTACACTCAGGTACCCATTAGAGCTAGATGGGCTCATGTATTAACTCAGGTTCCCATTAGAGCTAGATGGGCTCATGTATTACACTCAGGTACCCATTAGAGCTAGATGGGCTCAGGGATGTATTACACTCAGGTACCCATTAGAACTGGATGTGCTCATGTATTACACTCAGGTACCCATTAGAACTGGATTGGCTCAGGGATGTATTACACTCAGGTACCCATTAGAGCTAGATGGGCTTATGTATTACACTAAGGTACCCATTAGAGCTAGATGGGCTCATGTATTAACTCAGGTTCCCATTAGAGCTAGATGGGCTCATGTATTACACTCAGGTACCCATTAGAGCTAGATGGGCTCAGGAGTGTATTACACTCAGGTACCCATTAGAACTGGATTGGCTCAGGGATGTATTACACTCAGGTACCCATTAGAGCTAGACGGGCTCATGTATTAACTCAGGTTCCCATTAGAGCTAGATGGGCTCATGTATTACACTCAGGTACCCATTAGAGCTAGATGGGCTCAGGAGTGTATTACACTCAGGTACCCATTAGAGCTAGATGGGCTCATGTATTACACTCAGGTACCCATTAGAGCTAGATGGGCTCAGGAGTGTATTAAACTCAGCGACTAGCTGGACTACCAGTTCTAGATTCTAGTCGGTGCACGCTGTTTGACTGGCTGTGCCTAAGTTGGAAATTTTGTGAAGTGTTTTGTTCTAGCCACAAGATACACAATATTACCAACGTAACATACCTAAGGCTTGTATTGAAGCACGCGGACACAGATAACTTTCAATCAAGTTGTAAGTTGTTATGGCTGCCCTCTGTTGTTCCAATGGTGGTGCGGAGATCCCAAACGTATCCCAAACGGTGCTAGAGAGTTCAGTGCGTAACATTCAGTAATTCTAACTCGTCGTTATGGGTGCAAGAAGCAGTTAAATTAAAGTATTTTATGAACAAGTCTTTCAAAGAGTTACAATCAAGGAAAGAATGATTAAAAATACATTAATAGCAAGCTTTTATATAATTATGCATATTTTTAAAAACAAATATAAAGAAAAAAGTATGGGTCACTTTTAAAATTTTAATAAAGGTATTCAATACATCATTAATTTAGTGATCCACGCTTTTTATTTTATTTATTTAAATAGTAGTGCATTGTGATATAGGCCTACTTCAAGAAAATGATTTACTTTCTACTTTTTAGTGCATGATTATATAAAGGCGTGTTATTAAAATGTTTTTATTCATTTATTTTTTAATACGTAATCATTTTGTATGACTAAAAACAATGGCATACCAAATGAACACAAACACAATGCGTATAATAGAGCAGCAAATAATACTTTATAGGAAAAACTAATTCTTAAAAACTAATTAAGCATCCAATTATGTCAAATTTGATGTCAGAATTGATTGTCATTGGATTTCGACCCACGTGCTAAGTTTAAAACGAATCGGTTCGTTAGAAGTGATCGAAAATCACGACAGACAAAAGGAATTAAGGGATGTAAACCACAGTATTTTCATCACACACGACAAAATATCATCAGTACCTTATGTTGCATAAAACAGAACATTATGCTAGGTTCACCAAAACGAGATATCACCTTTATCACCAAGTGCCACAAGCAAAATGTCGATTCCTAGCGAAAGAAAATATCATTGTCATCAGTTTGATTAACGTTCAAACAATGTCATGATTTATGACCTCGAGCGAATTATGAGTTGCCTGCCTGTGACCTCATCCGACCTTTCCGGTCAATAACGTTTGTGTTAAGATGTTTTCTCCAAGATGAATCTCTTTGGTCCATCCTTTCATCGACTGTAGTCTGGTCACCACTGGTCAGTAAAGTTTGTGTTAAGATGTTTTCTCCAAGATGGTCACCACTGGTCAGTAACGTTTGTGTTAAGATGTTTTCTCCAAGATGGTCACCACTGGTCAGTAACGTTTGTGTTAAGATGTTTTCTCCAAGATGGTCACCACTGGTCAGTAACGTTTGTGTTAAGATGTTTTCTCCAAGATGGTCACCACTGGTCAGTAACGTTTGTGTTAAGATGTTTTCTCCAAGATGAATCTCTTTGGTCCATCCTTTCATCGACTGTTGTCTGGTCACCACTGGTCAGTAACGTTTGTCTCTATCGCCATTCTTTTTGCTTTGATCTGAGTATAGAGAAAGTATTGTAATCGGGCACAAAAAATGAAATGTTGACAGTTTTTGCAGTTTTACAGCTCACTACCTTGTCGTATACTGAAATGAAGATGTATTGTAATCGTGAAAAATCAAAATCGTGATTTTGGCAAATTTTGACGTTTTACATACAACCTTCAGCTACCGGAAAAGCGTAGCTTTTCAATCTTGTCCGTCAGTGTGTCTGTGTGTGTGTGTGTGTGTATGTGTGTATGTAAACATGATAACTTGAGTACCGTTTCAGTTATGTTGACTAAAGTTTATAAATCAAATATTTAGAGATTTCCGGTATCCGGAAGTGCTACTTAAAGCTCTTCCGGTCTCTTAAAAGCCCATAACTTGAGTACCATTAAAGTTAGGTAGACGAAATTGCATCATTATTGGATTGTATGTACAGGTTTCCATCAACTTTTGAGCGACTTCCGGTAATAAAAAAAAATGGTGCTTTACTCTATTTCCTCGGGAACAAGATAACTTAAGTACTGTTTCAGTAAGTTTGACGAAATTTCATACATAGGTATCTGTGAATCAATTGAACAATAGCTTTATCTTCATTTGATTAATCAAACCACTAGCTTCCATTTACCCTAGCCACCTCCCCTGACCCTAACCACCTCCCCTGACCCTAACCACCTCCCCTGACCCTAACCACCTCCCCTGACCCTAACCACCTCCCCTGACCCTAACCACCCCCCTAAACCTAGCCTCCCCCCTGACCCTAGCCACCTCCCCTGACTCTAGCCACCCCCCTGACCCTAGCCACCTCCCCTGACTCTAACCACCCCCCTGACCCTAACCACCCCCCCCCTATACTTGACAAGTGACTCCCTTTCTGGGCACAACTATGGTTTCTTTAGTCTTAAAAACTTAAGACGCTGTCTACTTAGAGCGTGACAAAGTATCTCTCTGCTAGATGTAAACAGATTCTCCCATTACAACTTCCAGCTATCCACATCTCCACATTAACCCCATCAGACCCGGTGTGTACTTAACTCTGAGCCCGATACACCAAGTGGTCAGGCATCTTAATGACATTCAAATTAAAGTAGTTGGAACTTGTTTGGTGTCATCAGACGAGCACATGTTGACCCACTTTAATTACAACAGCACACGATGACCTACTTTAACTACGTCAACATACGTTACATACTTTATACTCTGACCTACTCTAGTTATACCCTGTAGCACACTCTGACCTACTTATTACTCTCCAGGTCTCGGTGATGGAGGCTGTCAGAAGTCTGAACTGTGACCTACTTCTGGAGCTGCTCCCAGACAGCAGCCAACAGCCGCGGCTGTCCGTTGACCTGGTAAGTACATTAAGTATTTTGCTCTTTCTTTTAGCGCTTGACCGTCGGGATCTGGTTTTTCTTGAACTTATTATCAGCCTTTTAATGGTATTTTTTTTGTAAAGAAAAAAGTTGCTTCCCTTGCTATAGCGTTTTTCTTGAACTTTTATCCTTCGTTGTTTTGGTCTTTGCCTAGCTATCCACCTATCTTAAAGTTTTGTCTTTAAATTAGTACCTACCTTATAATGGACCAGTTATTGTGAACTCAAGCTTACTACTAGTCAAAGAGCTTCATGCATCCCACCAGCTTACTTCGGCCTCAACCTTCAGCCGTCTTCAAAAAATCCATCCATATATTAAAAAAATAACCCCACTTTTAACAAAAATATATTAAAAACATTAGCTGATAATGTCTTCAAATAACGTTTCTATAAATACCCTTGCTGTATGTTTATGTAATGAGGGTGTGACTTTGTGGACTGCCAGATTTTTTAGATTCTTCACACAACGTTTTACTCTGAAGTTTTCCCCACTTCCCGGCTTCGTTTTAAAATTTTTTATTTTGAAGGCTGGCCCCAGCCGTGGCGCGGCGGCCACATAAAATAAAGCATCAATTCCCTCCTTGTGCCATGTATGTCTACCATTTATTTACAATTTGTGATGTTGTTTACTCAAGATCTTTGCCCGTACTAGGGTGTGTAAGCAGCCATTTTGTTTTTATTTACTGGTCCAAATCTGTAGGCCACGGTGTTGCTGTAAAGAAAATAATAAAAATTGTAGCGCTTACATTTTATTTTAAAACTGTTATACAGATAGATTAATTATAGACAATTTTAAACAACACACCAACTCATTTTTTTCTAGACAGTCGTCTCACTTGTAAAAGTTTATATTCTATTTCCCACGTGGTATCACCCGCCCAATGAAAAATATCCCCTTATTAACTGCCGCCAACAGCCATGATTTTTTTCCTCCATTCTCCTCCAGTTTATTAAAAAAAACATCACAAAAAAATAAAGACAAAAAAAAAAACCAAATATTAAAAAACAAGCTTGAAGCATAACATCGCATTAGACTCAGCAATACATTGTGTGAATGTCAAGTTAACAAAATAAAAAGTTTAATTTGAAGCGGAAGTCAGGTCACGTGATTGCACGTGAGTTTGTGGCACGCTATGTCAGACAGTGTTCGCTGATGTCAGACATTTGATGTCAGACAGCTGGTGTCAGACAGCTGGTGTCAGACATTTAATGTCAGACAGCTGGTGTCAGACAACTGGTGTCAGACAGCTGGTGTCAGACAGTGTTGCTGTTGTCAGACAGCTGATGTCAAACAGCTGATGTCAGCTCCATTTATAGTTTGTGCTGTCTCTAGGGTCGTCCGATTGTCCTACACACATTTTACCCTACTAAATATCACAATCGTTGCTTTAGATTGATCTGCTTCTGTCTATGTCAGGCATAAAGTGGTGTTAATAGCAAGACGTCACACATGACGTATAATTGTATCATGGGTATACAATGCGATATATGTAGGACATGGGTATAGTTGTATGTTGGGTATACAGTGCATTATATGTAGAACATAGGGTATAGTTGTATGTTAGGCATACAGTGCGATATATGTATAATATGGATATAGTTGTATGTTGGGTATACAGTGCATTATATGTAGAACATAGGGTATAGTTGTATGTTAGGTATACAGTGCGATATATGTATAATATGGATATAGTTGTATGTTGGGTATACAGTGCATTATATGTAGAACATAGGGTATAGTTGTATGTTAGGTATACAGTGCGATATATGTATAATATGGATATAGTTGTATGTTGGGTATACAGTGCGTTATATAGGACATAGAGTATAGTTGTATGTTGGGTATACAGTGCGTTATATGTAGAACTTAGGGTATAGTTGTATGTTGGGTATACAGTGCATTATATGTAGAACATAGGGTATAGTTGTATGTTGGGTATACAGTGCGTTATATGTAGAACATAGGGTATAGTTGTATGTTGGGTATACAGTGCGTTATATGTAGAACTTAGGGTATAGTTGTATGTTGGGTATACAGTGCATTATATGTAGAACATAGGGTATAGTTGTATGTTGGGTATACAGTGCGTTATATGTAGAACATAGGGTATAGTTGTATGTTGGGTATACAGTGCGTTATATGTAGAACTTAGGGTATAGTTGTATGTTGGGTATACAGTGCATTATATGTAGAACATAGGGTATAGTTGTATGTTGGGTATACAGTGCGTTATATGTAGAACATAGGGTATAGTTGTATGTTGGGTATACAGTGCGTTATATGTAGAACATAGGGTATAGTTGTATGTTGGGTATACAGTGCATTATATGTAGAACATAGGGTATAGTTGTATGTTGGGTATACAGTGCGTTATATGTAGGACATGGGTATAGTTGTATGTTGGGTATAACGTGTTGTATGTCATAGAGGAAAATTGTGATTACTAGAACATAAGTTAAAACCTTACTCAAAGTCCGGCATGTGCACTAATTAGCTTTACTAATTAATCACGGCTAATTAAGGTTTAAACCGGAGTATCTTCGATCCACAACATTTTCTTGAATTACACTAGCACATACACACCCTACCATGCTTATGGCGTGTATAAATGTGACGCTTACAGTCTATAATGACAACGGTCCCGCCTTGCAGTTATGGCACTCAGCTTTGTAAAGTCTTCTTGGTAGAGGGGTGGGGAGGGTATAGCCACACAGAACCTGTGTGTGTGTGTGGGGGGGGGGGGGCGGGGTGCATAGTTACACAGAACCTGTGGTGACATGTGTATGTGTGGTGTGTGTATGCGTGATTTGTGTGTGTACCGACGTAGGTCATATTAATCTCATATATCTGTTTCGTCAGTTGGAATGTACCCACAATGTCCCCACAGTGTGTCCCCACAATGTGTCCCCACAGTGTCCCCACAGTGTCCCCACAATGTGTCCCCACAATGTGTCCCCACAGTGTCCCCGCCCTATCCACGCCACTGGCAGTGTACTACTCCACTGTATACACCTCCATATGTCACTTTGTACCACAGGCGCGAACCAAACCCTGTGTGTCCGCTAGAAGTCACATGATCGTGTTTCATCGTTCTGGCCCGGGGTGGCATTGGACTGAGAGACGAGGGACATTCTTGGCCAAGTTAGAGACTGCCGGGTCAAGGGTCACAATGTTATTGTTGGTATTGATCTGCTTCTCATTTGTTGGTTGTTGGTTTTTGACTCATGTTAGCTAATGTTGGTTGTTGGTTGTTAGCTCATTTTGGCTAATGTTGGTTGTTAGCTCATTTTGGCTAATGTTGGTTGTTGGCTCATGTTAGCTAATGTTGGTTGTTGGCTCATGTTAGCTAATGTTGGTTGTTGGCTCATGTTAGTTAATGTTGGTTGTTGGCTCATGTTAGCTAATGTTGGTTGTTGGCTCATGTTAGCTAATGTTGGTTGTTGGCCCATGTTAGTTAATGTTGGTTGTTGGCTCATGTTAGCTAATGTTGGTTGTTGGCTCATGTTAGTTAATGTTGGTTGTTGGCTCATTTTGGCTAATGTTGGTTGTTGGCTCATTTTGGCTAATGTTGGCTGTTGGCTCATTTTGGCTAATGTTGGTTGTTGGCTCATTTTGGCTAATGTTGGTTGTTGGCTCATTTTGACTAATGTTGGTTGTTGGCTCATTTTGGCTAATGTTGGTTGTTGGCTCATTTTGGCTAATGTTGGTTGTTGGCTCATTTTGGCTAATGTTGGTTGTTGGCTCATTTTGGCTAATGTTGGTTGTTGGCTCATTTTGGCTCATGTTGGTTGTTGGCTCATTTTGGCTAATGTTGGTTGTTGGCTCATGTTAGTAAATGTTGGTTGTTGGCTCATTTTGGCTAATGTTGGTTGTTGGCTCATTTGGGCTAATGTTGGTTGTTGGCTCATTTTGGCTAATGTTGGTTGTTAGCTCATTTTGGCTAATGTTGGTTGTTGGCTCATGTTAGCTAATGTTGGTTGTTGGCTCATGTTAGCTAATGTTGGTTGTTGGCTCATGTTAGCTAATGTTGGTTGTTGGCTCATGTTAGCTAATGTTGGTTGTTGGCTCATGTTAGTTAATGTTGGTTGTTGGCTCATGTTAGCTAATGTTGGTTGTTGGCTCATGTTAGCTAATGTTGGTTGTTGGCTCATGTTAGTTAATGCTGGTTGTTGGCTCATGTTAGCTAATGTTGGTTGTTGGCTCATGTTAGTTAATGTTGGTTGTTGGCTCATTTTGGCTAATGTTGGTTGTTGGCTCATTTTGGCTAATGTTGGCTGTTGGCTCATTTTGGCTAATGTTGGTTGTTGGCTCATTTTGGCTAATGTTGGTTGTTGGCTCATTTTGGCTAATGTTGGTTGTTGGCTCATTTTGGCTAATGTTGGTTGTTGGCTCATTTTGGCTAATGTTGGTTATTGGCTCATTTTGGCTAATGTTGGTTGTTGGCTCATTTTGGCTAATGTTGGTTGTTGGCTCATTATGGCTAATGTTGGTTGTTGGCTCATGTTAGCTAATGTTGGTTGTTGGCTCATGTTAGTTAATGTTGGTTGTTGGCTCATGTTAGCTAATGTTGGTTGTTGGCTCATGTTAGCTAATGTTGGTTGTTGGCTCATGTTAGCTAATGTTGGTTGTTGGCTCATGTTAGCTAATGTTGGTTGTTGGCTCATGTTAGTTAATGTTGGTTGTTGGCTCATTTTGGCTAATGTTGGTTGTTGGCTCATTTTGGCTAATGTTGGCTGTTGGCTCATTTTGGCTAATGTTGGTTGTTGGCTCATTTTGGCTAATGTTGGTTGTTGGCTCATTTTGGCTAATGTTGGTTGTTGGCTCATTTTGGCTAATGTTGGTTGTTGGCTCATTTTGGCTCATGTTGGTTATTGGCTCATTTTGGCTAATGTTGGTTGTTGGCTCATTTTGGCTAATGTTGGTTGTTGGCTCATTATGGCTAATGTTGGTTGTTGGCTCATGTTAGCTAATGTTGGTTG